ATGTATACCCATCCATGTCATTATTAGACAGTCAGAGCATCTGACGTGGTATAAAGAGCGGAAAGTCCACTTAGGGCGGATGGGAGGTCAGGTTGGACCGGTTAGCAGGATAGTCAGAGCGGCGGCCATTTGTACGTGTACCGTTGCTGTTTGGGACCGTTGATGCACGCTAGCTTCCGTAGCCCTATTTTTAGGCCTCTGCTCGAAAATTGCATACCCATACTAAAAAGAGTGTATTTCTGCAACTACAAGTTCTATTTAAATGATTTTGATGTTATAATAAAGGTAACACTTGTGAGATTTGTTCAGATGTGTAAATATCAGTGTATATGTTACTGGTTAAGAGTAAATGAAGATGGCACACAGCTCAAATTGAAAGGTTTCAGGTTTGCCTGAAAAAAAAGCAATTCTATTGTTATTATTTCTTTGGAATGATGCAGCTGCAGGTCTAAATCTCTCCCAAATCATAGCACATTATGTGATCAGTCTCTGTGCAAAGTCCGACTTTCATAAAGTGAAGCAGAACAAAATTAGAGAGATTTTAGTACAGAGAGGTCAGGCGAGGTCACCCAAATGGTCATTTTGGAACCAGCTGTTCCATTCCAATTTTCTATACTATATAACTATATATTTCACTTGTTTTATCACTAATAGTCACTAATAGTGTTCAATCTATCCAAATACAGCAGTTTGGCTTCATTTTGAGAGCCAGAATCCTCTCTAAGCCCTGTTTGTGTCTGTGATCCATGGAGTTTTCTCGTCTCACTCCAGTTCCCCATGTGTCCATGCAGACGTAAGTCAGCAGCCCATTGGTCGAATGAAGTGATTCAAACCTCTATCGTTGCGTCAGAGCCTATACAATTGAGCTGGGGTAACGTGGGAAAGATTGACTGCATCGTTAGCCAGTCAGAATCAAAACCGCGCTGTCTCTCGTGAAGCGTAAAATCCGATACGCCGAAAGTAAAATCCCTACCCCCAGCTCGCCCGGGCTCAAATTCAACCCCTGTCCTTGCGGAAACAGAATTATGACAAACAGGACACGAAAACAGTGAAAAGGTGAGGTGCATTTCTGATTATTATCGCTAAAGCGGTTTGTGGTTCTGGTGCTTGTTGGCTCATATGTCTGTAATGGTTTCACGGAGAGATATATTGAAGATATCTCCGTAATCTGTGTTGAATTCTCTTGCTTTCTGGTATCTCGGTTTTCCGTGTTAGCTTCTAGCTTTGTCTTGGTAGCTACAACCGGAGCGTAGTCGGCTCCCTCATGGTGAAATATGAATGATAATTTGGTCATTCTTTTAGTTGGTTGTTTTAGTTGTGTAGAATTGTGTTTGGAGTGTGTAAAAATGGCTTACATGATGTTGTAGCCCAGAATTTTTTCTTTAACTTTGTGTGTAACATCATTATATTAGTTCCTGAAAAGTGCATTGTACGACACTCTGTACGCTAAACTTTCTCGATGGAACCCCAAATGGTCCGCGGTCGAGTTAAACAGACTTATGGCAAGTCCCGGACTCACTGAGGTGAGGTTTTGCAGTAACAAGTAGTACGAGAAGTGGAGTTGTAACGTTACGAAGCGTTGCTGCTCTAGAGAAGTACAGGCTACTTAGCTAACTAGCCAGTCATCCGTCTCCCCAGCTAGCTGCGACAACACTATACGGCTCCAAAGACGTCAACATAACAACTAACAACAATCGCCCTTTTCATTTGTACTTTGTACAGTTCAGTTATACTCCTATTTTATTCTTAGGTTTAAACAAACTCACCCAGGCCACCGCTGTTTGTGTCCCCTGTGAAATTAAGTCAACATTGAGGTTTTACCCTAGTTTTGTTACTTAACTTCTTTACTTAATTAACACCAGTTACACAACAAGCATAGTTACGGGAGGTAAAAAAACAATGATTTTAACCAAAGCAACGATCTCTTCCTAAACCTAACCACAGAGATTTATTTTGCAGCCCTTCCAATCGTAACTTCATCGGTTTGATCCCCGGCTCCTTCACTCCATTTCAATGTGTCCTTGAGCAAGACAAGGCTGTGCCATCGGCGTATGAATGGGGTGTGAATGTGATAGTCCTGATGGTAGTACTTTGAGTGGTCGGAAGACCGGAAAGGCTATACAAATACAACAGTTAGTTACGTTGGAAGTTTACTTTGAAAAGAGACTGTATGTATGTCGCGAGTGGAAACTGTACGTTTCCTGTGAACACAGAAGTTTATTTTGAAATGGCACTATACATGTAACGATCGTAAACTGACACAGCATCCCTGACATGTCCAAAACCGATGCTAGAAGGGAACCTATAGCTCGCTATAGTTTGAAGCGTAGGGTCACTGACCAAGCATCGGTATTTGACAAGTTGGGAGGGAGAATGAGTTGCAACACTTGCTCCAAATACTGGAGGTCCTGATTCAGGACTATAGAGTGGATAAGCGTGTGATATGATGTGCATCTGATGATATTCACATGTTGGCAACATCAGCACCATTTCCTGCCACCCCCTCATCGGTTCTCTGTCCTCTTGTGTGTGGTTTATGTCGTTCTCCACACTTGGTTGTACCAAAAGCGTCCAATAGATTCCCCTGATGAGGAACCTTCCTCGTGGCTCCTGCTCGTGGGCTTATAGTTCCTGAATATATACAGTACCGTGGGAGCGTTTGCCAGATCTTCCTATGTTGCCTGGTGTTCTAGTCATCTGTTACCTGCCTGTCTCTTTCGTGAAACAAGAACTCAAGCTAGCAGATTATTAGCCAACATTAGCTGACACTTTCCATTAAAGTTAATGCTGACTGAGTACATTATTTACTCTTCTCTTGTCTTTTAATGTACCGTCAAACAAAGCTTCCATCATGGCCAGCCACTTACAGTCGTTTTTACAATAACCATATGTAGCATGATGGTAGCCAATGTCAGTAAAGACTCGCTCACTGACGGGGATGAATGATCTAAGCCTGTCCATCATCTACTGGAGTAGCCTAATGTCTCGTATGGAATAAAAAAAACAATGTGTGTGTGTTTGTAGAAACACACCAACACAACTGACACCTACAACACAGCAAATGTGTCTCTTTCAAAAAGAGAAATCACACACAAGATGCAATCTGCACACACAAGGTCACCACACATGAAGAGAAATCTTCCTTTTCCATTTTCACAGCTGAAGCAGAGAAAGAGACCCCCAATAATGAGAAAACATGAATAATTGAGTTAGTGAAAGCATTCCCAGGAGAGAGAGAGAGAGAGAGAGAGAGAGAGAGAGAGAGAGAGAGAGAGAGAGAGAGATCAGCATTGGGAACAACCCAGGGAACACCACTACCGAAATGAATGTGCCTATTCTCACGTACACACACACACACACACACACACACACACACACACACACACACACACTTAACTGAGCACGACTACATGGAGCAAGAGAATGCAAAGATAAAGATGGCTACCATTATTACTACAGCATCTGATGAATGAAAACAACACAGCAATGGAGAGAGAGAGAGAGAGAGAGAGAGAGAGAGAGAGAGGATAGCTAGATAGATAGATAGATGGATAGATAGATGATAGATGGATAGATGGATAGATAGATATATGGATAGATAGATGATAGATGGATAGATGGGTAGATAGATGGATGGATAGATGGACAGATGGATGGATAGATGGATAGATGGATGGATAAATGGATGGATAGATGGATAGATAGATGGATAGATGGATGGATAAATGGATGGATAGATGGATAGATGGATAGATAGATGGATAGATGGATGGATAAATGGATGGATAGATGGATAGATGGATAGATGGATGGATAAATGGATAAATGGATGGATAGATAGATAGATAGATGGATAAATGGATGGACAGATGGATAGATAGATGGAAAGATGGATGGATAGATGGATGGATAGATAGATGGATAAATGGATGGATAGATGGATAGATGGATAGATGGATGGATAAATGGATGGATAGATGGATAGATGGATAGATGGATGGATAGATGGATAGATGGATGGATAGATGGATAGATGGATAGATGGATGGATAGATGGATAGATGGATGGATTGATAGATAGATAGATAGATGGATAGATGGATGATGGATAGATAGATGGATAGATGGATGATGGATAGATAGAGGGATAGATGATGGATATATAGATGATGCATAGATAGATGGATAGATGATGGATAGATGATGGATAGATGGATAGAAGGATAGATGGATATATGATAGATGGATAGATAGAAGGATAGATGGATCGATAGAAGGATAGATGTATAGATAGATAGTAGATGGATAGATGGATGGATAGATAGATGGATAGATGCTAGATGATAGATGGATAGATAGATAGTAGATGGATAGATGGATGGATAGATAGACGGATGGATAGAAGGATAGATGGATAGATGCTAGATGATAGATGATAGATGATAGATGGATAGATAGATGGATAGATAGATAGATGGATAGGTAGATAGATAGATGGATAGAAGGATGGATAGATGGATAGGTAAATAGATAGATGGATAGATAGATAGATGGATAGATAGATAGATAGATGGATAGATGGAATGTGGATATTTTGCTGCATCAACCTAAGGAACCCAATCATATGAGCAGTATACCCTTAATCCCTCCCCTCTCCTCCTCTGTTTACTCCTCTTTTTTCAACCGTGTTGTTTTCTCCATTTCCATCTTTTTCTCCTCTGGGATCCATCTGTAGTCGTGCAGTTAGCTTCCTACTTCACCTTCCCTCTATCCTTCATCCATCTCTCCCATCATCCTGCTGTATTTTGGTTGACCGTGTAAAGCATATTCATATGTGCATCTATTTTTGATCGTATGTACAAATACAAATGTTGTGTAATTCCTGCTTGCTTACTCAAATTGCATCTGTGTGTGTGTGTGTGTGTGTGTGTGTGTGTGTGTGTGTGTGTGTGTATGCCCATTGGTGAGTGTTTATGGGTATGTATGTGTGTGTGTCTTACCTGAGGCCTGGAGGAGGGGGGCTGTGTGTGTGTGCGTCGTGGCCGTGGACGGGAGGCGGTGTAATGCCTTAGAATCTGTCCCTGGGTGGGTAGAGGCTCCATGGGAGAAGTGGGGGATCCAGAGCTGGGGAGGGGGACCGGGCTGGGGCCGCAGCCGGGGAAGGGAGTCTGTCGTCTGGGTGAGCCGCCGCGGCCGGCAGCCTCCTCCTCTGCAGCTCGAGCGGAGACGGAGTACAGGAGGGGGAGACCGGGAGGAGGAATGAACGATACTCCTCTCGCTCCTGATATTGCTGCTGCAGCATCCGCTACCGCCACCTCCCCCTCCCTCCGCCTCCTCCCCCTCAGACCCGGGGGGGAGGGAGAAGGGGAGGGGCTCGAAAACCTGACTGACAGCGGGGTTGCTGTCGGCAACCGTGAGAGGAAACACCTTCCTCCTCCTTCCTCTTCAGCACCTCCTCCACTCTCTCTCTCTGCTCCTCTGGTCTGCTGCTCCCAGTCTGCATCCAGGAGGCCTGAGAGTGAAGCAGTGTGACTGATGAGAGGAGAGACACTAGGAGGAAGGATGGAGGGAGGAAGGGAGGGAGGGAGGGAAAGATGGGGAATCCAGCCCATGCTTTTTGAAATGCACTGTATGTATGTGTATCTAGGGCAGGCAGAGCTGTATGGGTAAGACATTGGGGGAATGGAGGGACATGAAAATGGGAAAAAGGAGAAGGAGGGGGTGTCAATAGACTAGGATGGAGGGGGAGGAGAGACTAAGCAAGGAAAGAGGGGGGGTACACAAGGGGGCAGTGCAGAGTGAAGAGAGAAGTGATCAGTTAAGCATAGACATGCAGAGAAGAAGCAGAGCAGCAGATGATGCTGCAGTCACACAGATAAGGTAGAATATGATAGTTAATAAACCTACAGTGGTATGTATCGTTCAGCCACAAGGTCTGAATACCTGGGCCTTTGAAATACAAATTGATGGCTACACTTTTAGAAATAAAAGATTCGTTTTTTAGAAAATATTGCCCTTATTCTTTTTATGACAGAAAACACAAAATGATGGTGAGCAATTGATTATTTGATGTATCATTTTGTTTTATTGAAGCTATCCTCCGATCAAACAAAAGGAGCGTGGTGTGGGGGTTGTGAATCCCTCATCATCCCCTCCTCCATCTTCTCCCCATCTCATCTCTCCCAGGGTGGAAGTCACTGGTGTGAAAGTAAACAGGCCATGCTCCAGTTAGCCAAACAGTGCTGTGTGTCTGCCACAGAGCGGTTCAGCACAGCACACATGAGGAGTACAAGGGGAAGAATGAGACGCCCAATAGGAGGTTAACACTCACACCGGAGCTCAGACAGCGTCCCTGATGGCTGTAGTAGCTGAACACATTTAAATATGTGGCTGTTGTGCCATCACATTACTGGCATAACAAAGGGGTTCCCAACCTTTAGAAACTTAAGGCCCACTTCTGATTTCTAAAAGATTTGTGAGGAATTCCCAAATAAATGAGAAAAAAACATGACAAAAAAAGGGAAAAATAAACTGGTCTGTACATCCAATATGAATAATGTAATGTAACCGCTTAACTTTGTGTCGCTACGTTGTTTGATAGCAAACTGTCTGTCTTGTGGTGATAATCAAACAGGTCTGGTTATTGGAATTATACATTTTACTTCTTTATTTATGTGAATTCTTGAGCACACTTAGATTGTATATTACCAACAACATACTGCTTAAATGTAATCTATCTGGCAGTACCTCCGAGGTCTACTAGATGGGGCTCTGAGGCTTCATTAAATGTGTTCCTGGTTCTGGTTCCTTCCCTCCAGCGGGTCCAGCAGCACAGTGTCAATGTTAGCTTCCAGCGGAGCAGAGGGGCGGAGCCTCTGCTGCTGGCCACAGAGCTGGTGGCCAGCTGGTGAACCTGGACTCCGTAAATCGCTGCTTCTGATTTTGCAGGGAATCGGACTCGATGAAAGGCATTTATAATAACTACTATATATACAAATAGGTCAATAGGTCGTATAGAGGCATCAGTATTGAATCAAGACCGTTCACACTCAAAGGTTTCTTGTAGTAACTTGAAATAAAAACTGATGGAAAAGATTTTTAGGGTTCAAGTTTGTTCAGTTTATATACGCTCATGGTCCGACGTGGTTTTGATTTTATGACACCATGACTTTTCGTTAGCGCCACACTTTGGAAACCTTTAGCATCTTTAGCTCCTTGTGGGATGCAAAGCTGTCATTTTGTTGCCTCCCTTGGACATCCTACTTCCAGCTGGGGACATAGTGGAGCATTCAGCAGCTAAAAGACAGATGTGTCTCAATTTGTTGGTGGAGACCAAAAGCAGAGCTAAACAGAGAATGATTATTGGACTATTTCTGGCTCCCTTTGAAATGTTATTGTTAAATTCTGTGTTCTGATAATTTGTGCACACAAATGATTCATTTAAGAACAAGAATATAGCAATTCCAGAGCACACAGTCCTGTGTACACATGTGTTTCCTTTTCCTCCTCACACCTTGCACCCACACATGCAAATATCTTCAACGAGAGGGGGAGACATGGAGAGACATCAATGAATCACACAGTAACAGGGCTTTATCTTACTCTTAATCGAAGGGGCCGGCCTCAGGCTCTTGGAGTGGAAACTATTTCTCCAAAATGCCGGAGTGTACTGATGATGAGAGAGTAACAGAGGAAGAAGAAGAGAAAAGGTAAATGAGTGAGTGAATAACAGAATGAATGGACGGATAGATGGGTGTGCGTCTCTCACATCATCAGTCGGGAAGTCGCCGTCGACCAGTCGAAGCTCTGGGATGTTGATGTTCAGAGCAGTGCATGAACTTTCTATTATAAGGCAATCCTACACAGCAGATATAGAAAGCATCAACAGTAATGGGTGCTACATATCACATATATTCACACAGTGTATGGACAGAAATAATATGTGAAGAGGTTTTCTAATAACATGCAAGGTAACATTAATACTAGAGTTATAATAATACCAATAGGTGTGTTCAAGGGAAGTTAACAGCAGGACAGTTGAGGAGAAACTCTCAAATGAGAAGAATCGTTGGATTCATTGTAAGCTGCTGTTTCACTGTGCTAAGCTAGGCTAAATACTATGTCCTGGACTCCTCTTTGTGCTGGATGCACAGAGATGAGACTGATATTAATAAAGCTTTCCTTCAATTGTCTGTAATACAAAAAGGGTTCCTTACCATTCACACTGTTGACCAACTGAGGTCAGAAGAAGTTATAGATAAATTCAAAGTCATTAAAGAAAATACTGGTCATAAACTATCAGAATATAGTCTACATGTTTCCATAATAAATATAAAATGGATGGAGTATATAGGAATCAGCATAATATTCACACAATACACACACATTTACCATTTTGTCCTGTGCCACCGTCAGATCCTGTAGAATCTGTTCAATGATGCTTTCAGCCAGAGAGACACTCAATGTCTGTCTCAGTTCACTGGACAGGACGACAAGTGAGAACAAACGCACACGTGTGACTGCAGCAGAGTGAAGACTATAGAAATGAATCAACCAGTTATTTACAGTAATAAAGATGTAAGATTGGTTGTAATGGCTGAACTAACTTAAAACCTGTCCGTGTCTTACTTCACCAATGTTTATATGAACTGTGGGTGAACAACAGAAAAGCATGGTTAGATTTATAGATCAGTGTGATATGGGGACAAATGGTGTGTTCTCACCCACTTTGTCACAAATACGTTTGATGGCATGTACTTGAAAACATTTAGCGCATTCCAAACATATTTAGAGCGGTCCGATATGTCAGACACACAGAGAGATGCAATGACTGTGCCAAAGGTTGTTGGTCAAGAAATAGCACCACGGCTAACTGCTGCTGGACTGTTTTTACATTTTAATCATTTTTATAGCTGGTTCTGATCAAACAGAATAAACACAGATCCTTGTACACTGTAATGAAATGAAAATGTCTAAAGGTGTTGTAGTGGACGGCATTATATTATCCAGTGTTAGTGATGTTTTTGTTCTTTCTCTGTAAATGAGGTGCTATAAATATAGAGTATAATCACTAATTATTCAGGGTAAATGGGGTTCATTAAACAAACTAAAATGACACTGTCGTACATAAAAGTAATTACCGCAGTCTGCTGATGATGATCGCCCCTGTGTTCTCCAACATTGTGCTTCTCAGGAATGTGTGTGTCTGTCTGCTTCTCTTGGACACACACTCTGACAGATGCTCGACCACACTGGACCGCTGGACCACCCGTGGACACATTGCCTCCACACCCCTCATCAGGTCTTGAGCCAACTCCTGGAAAAAAACACACAGACTGGAGACGTGAGCACAGCCGAGACCGAGCATCTTCAAGACAAGGCGGAGACTGCCAAAAAATCGTCCTCAGACCAAGCTGGAACTGGGATCTAACTGGCAACCATTGAGAAGTGTGTCATTCTGTTATTTTAGAGATTAGCTCAGAACTATACTTTGGATATTGAAAGTGCTGAATTCGAAATTCAGAGCAATAATATAGGCATGGATGGATCACTCAACCGGCCTATTGGGCACAGGTAAGACACTTAAAGAGACCAGAAAGAAACACAAAATGACCACAAAGAGACACAAAACAACTACAAAGAGACACAAAACAAATACAAAGAGACACAAAAC